CCAGTGAAGCAATGTCCTCCACAACTAGACTGAAGAACAAAAAGGACAGCAACTTGTCTGTTCCCCTTCCCCCAATTCCCCAGCACTGTTCCCATCTCCCCAATTCCCCAATAAAAATCTTTAAAAAAAACCCCAAAACCAACCAAACAAACAAAAAACAGTAAAGGGGTTAAATGCTGCCAAGTACTACTGATAAACTTCTCTGAATTAAAATAGTCATAATCAAGGATACCCACTGATATGGTAGCTTGGCAGATTTAGTTTTCATTTGGATCACTGATAGAGGTCATGTCAACCCTGAATACATTTATTTAGTGCTTAATGCCATAATATTTTCAGGTACAGAAAGAAAAGAGAAATTTGCACTTTTATTTCACAGCAAATGAGGAACTTTAAGTGTACAAGGGAATGCAATGTAAATGATGAGGAAAATACTGAATTTACATTTGCTTTGGTCAGTTCGAAACAGGTCCTCATAATTTGCCCTTCTTACTTCTCCTGACACATATCAATCACACCAGGCTACTCATCCGTGCCCTCTGCACTCTAGTGACACTGCCCCTCTCTTCTTTCCTGGAAATCAATAGGTTCCCTAACCTGGCTGCTGCACATGTTGTCTCTTCTACCCCAGACACTTTTTCATTTATTCATTTCATTTAGAAAATACTTACTGAGCACCAAATATGTAACAGGTCCTGGGGATATCTTAATAAATGAGATAAGGCCCATTCACACTCCTGGAGCTTGCATTCTTGTCCTACTCCTTCCTTTTTCCTCCAAGTTAACTCCTACTTTTCCTTCCTTTCTCAGCTCAATCAGTTCTTCCTCAGTGAAGTTTATCCAAACCTCCTGACTACAACAATACTCCAGATTATATTCATTCATTCAACAAGTATATATTGAGCACCTAACATGTGTCACACAGTTCTTGGTACTAGATACAGAACAATGAAAAAAAAAATCAAAGCTCTTGCTCTCATGAAGGTTACATTGTAGTGGGAGAAAACCATTTTAAAAAGTAACCAAATAAATGTCAAGTGCTAAGAAAAAGTCAGGTAGAGTAAGGGGATGGAGTCTATTCTAGACAGTGGCCTGGGAAGGCATCTCTGATGATGTGACATCTGAGTAGAGATCTATATGAAATCAGAGAGTGAATCATGTGGATATCTTGGGGGAGCATTTCTGGCAGAGGGTCATGCATGGGCAGAGGCTCTCCTTGCACTGCACACCTCCCCTTTGCTTAGTTATCACAGCTGTAATTTTATACTGATTTGTATTTGTCTTTCCTTCTAAACTGTTCACTCCACAAGGGTAAAAGGTTTCTGTTGTTGATGCTCATGCCCCAGCTCTTAACAATAATAAATACCTGTAGAATGAATGAAAAGAACCAAAGGGGGGAAAAAGAGAGAAGGGGAGAGAAGGGGAGGGAAAGACATGCCTGATGTAGCAGAGTAGAAACAGTGCTTAACTGCAAGTCAAGAGATGCTGGGTCCTGCCTCCTACCTGCCACATACGAGCTGTCTCAATAATTATGTCTGAATGTCATTTCTTTCTACTATAAAATGAGAGTTGGACTAGATAGAAAATGCAAATAATTCTCTGAACACTAAAGATATTTGTTATAAGACATGCTGAAGAAGTAAAAAACCATCTTTACTTTTTGAATGTAGTTGCCAAACGGCTAAGTTCACCACTATAAACACCATATGGTAACACCCTATTTATTCAGAAGCCATTTATCCAGAATATAGCTTAGAATCCTGGAGGAAACAAAGGTTACTAAAGAGACAAAACAGATGTCACAAAGCCCATACACTAAAGCTAACATTATTTATAAACAGACACTTGGGGCTCTCATTCAGAGGTTATTTATTCACGTTTTGTAACACAATTGTTGTGTGTGAATTTCAGCAGAATAAAAAACTTTTATTTTAAAGAATCGTTTATGCTTATTTATATTTTTTCAGTAGCAACTCATGTACCCAGAACAAAAGTAAGTGAAAAGTAACTTTCCTTTCCCAGAAAAGATCACTGTTACTTGTTATCTTATGATATAAAATTTTGAAAGTTTGATGATCTTGATTCCCATATTGAAACAAATGAGAAAGAGGAGGTGGAATTGCATAGAATAAGCAAGATTTGCCCTCTGACTGGAGAGAGGAGACTGAAAAATATTTTATGTCAGGGTCAGGCAGAAAAATTCTCAAAAAGCATACCAGTTTTCGGTGATCTTAGACAAGAGGCAAGTAGCCTTTGGGCTCGGTTTCTGAGGGTAACTCTGTTCTGACAGAGAACATTTATTTATGTCCTATCAAAAAAAGAAAGTCTAAATTTTTTGAGTATACTCTTAAAATTAATTTAAGACAATTTCTTAAAAAAAAACCTCAAAGTAAAATGAAATGTAAGATTCAGGTATCAAAAAAATAATTTTACGTGACATCTCGCCTCTCAGTCATATTAGATAAGATAAAAGACAATGGGGTTAAATAAATTGCTAAGTGTTTCCAAAACTTGTAAAGTTTGTCCAGTCTTATGAAATCAGCAACTAGGCTGATTTATATACAAATTTCATCATTTGTATATAAACGGTTGTTCTAGATGACACATCAACAAGACAAGAATTTATACTGCAATTGAGTGATGCAACATTGGGAAGCAAAACTTAAGATGCGTCTGGTTTCTCTTCCCAAAGCCTCTACGCTAGCGATGATTCAGCCCAATTATCTAAACTCTCTAGAGACAGGGTGCTGGTTCTGTGATTACAAAGAAATTAGAGTAGGAGAGGGGACCAATTCCCTAACCTGGGAGTTTCCAGAGAAACCCAATATATAACAAAGCAAAGAGCAAATGGCTCAAGAAATAAGCAATGGAATCCAATCATAGCAACACTACTTAATATAAAGATAGGCCACCAGGAAGAAAATATCCTGATAATCATAATAATCAGAAAATCTTACTGAAACCAAAAGTGCAAGTACAATTCCATTGAGGCACTTTCACCTAATATTTACCTAGGTTTACAGAAAGAAATTAGTTATTTTGAGAGAGTCCGGCATTAATGGCACTAAAGAAATGAGGAAGAGCAGAGAACCTGGCAACATCCTAAAAACCACAGCATTGATTCAAAGGATTTAAAGGATTTAAAAAGGTCTATTATAGTTCAAAAGGAGATTAAAAAGTATCTGTTGTTCAAATGACGTTTTATATGGGAAATAAAAATGTTTTCAGACATTAAAGCTAAAACAAGAACAGTAAAACGGGACTCTGGGAAAGGAGATCAAGAGTTGTCCTTAAAGGAAATAAAACACACAGAAAAAATGCTGCTATCCAAGCTCTCCTCCTGCTTAGCTGCTCCTTTTACAAAGCCGCAGGTCAGGGAATCAATGCAGTTTCTTGTTAAGTTGAAAATGTTGTTAATGGTACTTGCTTTTAAGCACACTAACAAAACTACCAAACAGTTGGAAACAAAGCAATATTCCCATTTTTAAAGAAAACATACAAACGAGTAATTTTTAACACAATTTTATCTTTAAAAAAACCTAACTAAATAAAAACTTTGAAATGTGAAAAAAGCCCCAGCGGGCAACTGTAGAGGAGGGCAGAGCGCAGGAGCACTCGGAGGTCGCTTACAGGGTCTAGCCTACCGGACGAACACCACAAATTAAAATACATCGGTTTTTGGAACATTTACGGGTCCTGAGAGTGGATGTGATCGCCGAGATTTCGGCAAGAATCATCCCTAAACCCTTCCAGGGCGTTCCTGAGGGACTCCGTTTGGCTCAGCATCTGAAGATCGCACTTGTGCCTTTAAGTGGGAAATGACACTGATTTTCCATAACTGGCATCTCTAATGGCCTCAAAGCCCTCAAACCCACACTCTGCCGTCCTCTCTCTCGCAGGCGAACTCCTGCAAAACGTGTCTGATGGCCGAGTCGCTGCGGGACTTTTAACAGACCGCGGACCACTTCATTCCTTGCATATGAGGCGATGGGGAGGAGAGAGGCTACCGCGATCAGCAGAAAGTGGGGGCTGTTGAAGAAGCCGCCGTTCCGGCCGCCCTTTCAGAGGGCGCCGCGCCCACCTCCGCTCCGAGGCTGCGAGGGCGGAGAGAGGTTCTAGGGTCGGGGGGTCGGCCTCAGGCGCAGGGACCCCGCGGCGCGCGCCAGGGCTGAGGCGGCGGCGCGCGCGGGCCCCCTCCCCCTAGCTCCAGGAGACCACCCAGCCCTGTGGCGCCCAGCGTCCCAGGCCCACCTTTGATGCCGGCCATGGCGGTGACGTCGCTCCTGGCTCCAAGACCCAAGGCGGCGGCGGCGGCGGCAGTGGCCCGGAGTCCACAGACGCGCGGTGGCGGCGACCAGACAACACCCGGAAGCGCGACGCAGCACTTCCGCCGGCGGCTCGCGCTCGAGCGGGGGCGCGAAGGGCGCGGGGGACGCGCGGGCTTGGGGCTGTCGAGCCGATTTCTTCCTCCTAACCAGCTCTGCTTCTCTGCAGATCGCCGCCCTGGGAGGCTTTCCTCCCAGCTCGGCTTCCGGGGCGTGCGGACGCCAGCCCCCCGATTCCCCTCAGGGTTGGCGGAAGCTCCATGCTGAAGCTCCTCACCGGTGTCCCGCAACGTCCCTCCCACATTCTATGAGGAGGAGGGAGCGCGAGTGGCCGCTGACCTTTGGGAGGCATGTTGTGATGTATTTGGGGGAGACGTTTGCGATCTTCAAAGCGCACCCATTTCTCCTCCCAGCCGTGTAACGAAGGAGAAGTAAGGCTAGTTGGGTGGTTTGCACTTGGCTTCTCGGTTTCCCACATACGACGAGGGTTCTGGTGAGACTTAACCTCCAGAGAAAGGAATAGCGGGATCCAGTAGAGGGTGAATTTAATGCAAATCCGATCTCTTGGGAGTTGGTGAGAATCGTTGGGTTTTTGTTAGGGCTAAAAACTGGAGGGCTAGAAAGAAAAAGAGAAAGCAGAGTTTATTTAAGCCATCGTAGAAATTTATTGAACGTTTAGTATGTGTTGGGAACAGGTCTGGGCCCTCGGGGTGCGCAAAACTAGGCACAGTTTCTGCCTTCCAGGAGCTTGCATTTAGTGAGAGAGACAGGCATAAAAAAGTGTGAAATTGCAACAATGATAATTGCTAGGAAAATGGGTTAATAGCCCTATGAAAGCTTTCGATTTATTGATCAGTAGTTCAGTCAGAAAAGGTTTCCCTGAGGGAGGGACAACGGAGGGATGAACAGGTGTGTTCACTAGAGAAGAGGGGAGTGTGTTTGTGGAGGGGTTGGGGCGTGGTGAGCTTTGGCGGCAAACCGGGAGCCAGGAGCTTGGTCTGCTGGAGAGGCGAGAAGGCCAGCGGGAGTGTGGGGTTTGGGCATTGTGATTACACAGTAGGGTCCTATATAAGGAGTCCCCCCGCCCCCCAGCAATGAGAATTTTTTGAAGGGTTGTAAAAAGGGAAGTGGAGGTGGGTGACATATGATTTGGATTTTTAAATCTTTTCAGTCATCAGACTAAAACTGGTATGTAAGACCTGGTTGAGTGAATGGTTTCCACCATGCTTCAAAAATGAGAGCTACTGGGAAGCTAAATGTACTATCCACCCTGCCTATCTCCACTACTTCCAGGGTTGAATTATAATTTTTTTTTGTAAGCAGGTCACTTCTTGAGGCTTAATGTCCCAAGTAAATCTATAGATGTCTTGGGGAGAAGTAGGATTTTTTTCCTATTCAAGTTAGCGGCAAAAAGTTCTATGCCACGAAGAGTATCCATTTAAGGATTGTGGTAGCAAAACCACAAGGCACACTTGAACATAGGAGATCGAGATCAGACAATTAAGTTCGTGAACTTGTTGTAATGATGTTGCTAACCTTTTTTGATATCAAAGGGATTGTTCATTATGAATTTGTACCAACTGGAGAAACAGTTAACCAAGTTTACTATTGGGAAGTGCTGAAAAGGCTGCGTGAAAAAGTCAGAAGACCTGAACTTTTTGCCAACAATTCATGGCTCTTGCATCATGACAATGCACCAGCTCACACGGCACTGTCTGTGAGGGAGTTTTTAGCCAATAAACAAATAACTGTATTGGAACACCATCCCTACTCACCCAATGATTTTAAGAAAAAGGAAATATTGAAAGGAAGACATTTTGATGACATTCAGGACATCAAGGGTAATACAATGACTGCTCTGATGGCCATTCCAGAAAGAGAGTTCCAAAATTGCTTTGAAGGGTGGACTAGGAACTGGCATCGGTACATAGCTTCCCAAGGGGAGTACTTCAAAAGTGACCATAGTGATATTCAGCAACGAGGTATGTGGCACTTTTTCTAGGATGAGTTCGTGAACTTAATTGTCAGGACTCGAATGCTGTGGAGATGTTGCTGCTTAGACAGTCTGTGAACACCTGCTTTGTAAACTGAAGTAGGCATATGCATCCTCCTCCCCAACCATCTTGAAAGGAGTAGGTAGAATTCCTGGGGAAGTAAATGATCCCATCCCAAATAGTCACCACTAACACCTTTTCTCCCTTTGTTTCACAGTATTCCATTCTTGAAAGCAGGGATGATTGAGGGAACATAGACATAGCTGATCAGTGGTGGTGTTATTGGGAAGTGATAGGTTCTCGTTTCATAGGCTCATAGCTTGGCTCCTGGGGAAAATCACATTTTAGGAAGCCTTTTGGAGTTTCCACAAGCCCCAGCGTCAGAATTAAGTGCTAGTCCACTAATTTTCTCTTGTGAATACAATGGGTTGGGCATCACAGACATTCATCCTTGATGACATTTACCAGTAAGTGGAATTGTTCTTCAGGTTAGATCTATATTTGTTTGCTTCCATGGTCATGGAATCCTAAGAGATTGTGCTCCTTTGGCTTTCCCATGAGATTCACAGTATTTCTAGGACAAAAACAGAACTTTTGTGGGCAGAGCCCAGGAATCTGAAATTTTAACAAGCACCCTAAAGAGTTCCTATGCAAACTAAAGCTTGAAAATAATTGAAAAAGGCAGAATGTCAGTTTTCTTCATCAATTTGCCAAGTGAATCCTAAACATTGTTATGTCCTTTAAATGTTCTCTAAGTATTCTTACATAATAGTTCCAATCTTTCATAGTTTCAAAACTTTTCATTTAGATGGCTTACTGTCCTCCAAAGTTAATTCACAGAGATGGGAATGGGAGTGAGAGAGAGCTGTTATTTATTGAGCAGCTGCTATGTGCCTGCTGCTTTAAATATTTATCTGATTTAATCCTCCCCACAATTTTGTTAATTTTGAATTACTAACTTACAGATCAAGTCAGAGAACATTTTAGTTTTTAAAATTTTTATTATGGAAAAAATTAAATATATATATAAAAGTAGTCTGAATAGTATAATGAACTTCCATGTACCGTCAGCTACCCTCAATAATTAACACATGGTCAATGTTGTTTTATCTATACTCCTCATCCACTTCCCCCAAACTCTCATGTTAGTTTCCCCATATTATTTTGAAAGAAATTCCAGATACAATTTTTCATCTTTAATAGTTTTTTCTAAAAGAATTCTTAAAATTGTCATCACACCTGAAAAATGATTCTATAATACCATTATATATCAAGTCAGTGTTCAAATTTCCAATTGTCTTATAAATGTCATTTATTTTATAGTTTGTTTGAATGAGGATCCAAATCAGGTTCAGACATTGTTACTGCCATATCTAAATTCTCTCCCTACACATTGTGCCTCCTTCTGTGGCATTAAATACTGTCTTCATTTTGATAACATAGCTACCTAGTTCACCTTAGCTTTGAAATTCAGACTTGTGTATCCAAGTGTCTATTTGATATGTCTACCTGGGTGGCTACCTCAAGCTTAACATGTTGAGAATAGAATTCTCTATCTTTATTCCAGTCCTGCTTAGTCCCACTCCGAGCCACCACTGTTCTGCCTTCTTTTGTTCCACTCTTCCCCTAACTTCCTTTGTTTCAGTTATACTTGCCTTGTTTGCCTCTCCCCCCTCCCCCAATTTTGTTTTATTCATTGCTGCATCCCCAGTGCCTAGGATAGTGCCTAGCAGGTACTACTAGGTACTGGTAGATGGTCAATATACAAAGATATTGGTCAAATTAGTGAATGATGTTCCTGAAAACACAAAGCAGGGGCTTTTGCATCCACTGTTCACCAGGCCGTGAAGGCTCTTCCCCTGATCTTTGCATGGCTGGTTCTTTCTCATCATTCAGGTCTCAAATCTTCGAAATCGCTTCCTCAGCAAGGTCCTCCTTGAAGTTGCCTCCCAGTCTCTGTTGTACCCATATCACTGTTTTATTTTCATCAATGCCCTCATCATTACCTATTATATTAATTTATTATTTATCTTTGTGTCTCCTATCCCACTTCAGCGTAAGCCCCATGCCTAAAAGCGTACCTGACACAAATAAGGCACTCAACCTATATATGTTGAATGAATGAATGAGAGAAACCCAGGCCTGTCGGACCTTGAAGATAATGCCTCTGCGCTCTTAGAACTGTTTTCTCTGGCTGGTTCTTTATTTAGGAAGTAGTTTCTCTTGTGATATTTTGTAAATTCTTACTGGCACCACGCACAAGGAAATATGTAAAGGTTCCAAGCTTCGGAAACCAATTTATTTCCACGCTACCTTTCGCTGGAATCTTCTCTATTTACCGAACAGTAATAGAACACGAATAATGCCAGGCGCTATGCTAGGTGCTGAAGACATAAAGTTGAATAAGACATAGTAACTTACCTGGGGAAAGTTACTGAGGTTTTTTGTAAATACATAACTTGACTACACATCTTAGATATCACTTTGTGCTGTTTTAATTCTAACCGCAGCACCAACCCTAAAAACCTCCCTGAGGGCAGCCCTCGGCCCCGCCCACAGCCTCTGCGTCCCGCCATTGGTTCCGCCCTCGGTCGGCCAGCAACGTCCACTCACGTTCGCCCACGCGTCACAGCGGCAGTGACGTGACACTGGCGGCCGAACCTCCGTAGTGCCTGGGACCAGGCCTACAGACTTTCCGTTTTCCGTGGCCCCAGTCCCCGGCATCGCCAAGCAGCGGCTCACGGACTTCCGCAGCCCAGGTTCCTGCCAGCCGCACGCCCTTCGCAGAGCGCCATGGCCGCGGTCGGTGGGCCCGGAGCGGACGTTCGCTGCCATCTCCTCAGCTGCCTTTTGCTTCTGTTGGTCGGGAGCTCTGTCCTGGGCTGGAACGACCCTAGTGAGTGCTGTCCTCACTCTCCCCTTCCTGCCGCCTTCAGCCTGCTCTGAGAGGCTTTGCGGGCAACCATTTCCTTTTGGCGCCCCTCGACCCTTTCTGCTCTAATTCCTTTTTCGTCCCTTTCGCTATTAATTTGTGCGCCGCCTGGCGCTTTTGGTTTTCCCAGAAGTCCTACGGGAGAGGGGGGACTGTTGGGGAGTTGGCGGGGCGACTCAGTATTCGTAACATCTTTCTTCCTTTCCTGGACTCTCAGAATTTGTTTACTTTCTATTTTCTCGGGTTACAGCCCTTACCCTGGAGTCAGGCTGGAAGGCCCGATACTCACCTGCGCATCTTGCTTTGTTTTCATGAGTGTCTGATGTCGTCGCTGACTGTTTGCGTGACTGCCTGTTGCTATGGCTGGCAGTCGCCTTGACGTCCACAGTCTGTGAGTCACACTTAGTGGACAGGGCAGCAAACCTTGTAGGTAGGTTAGTAGAATCATACATTTATGCGGGCAGAACCCATGCTTCTTATTCTGACCATTATAGTGAATTACATTGTGTTAAGCCAGCTTTTCTCATTGTTTTTAACCGCATTCTAGAATTTAAGAAATATTTTCATACTATTTTTTGTGATGGGACATGATAAGCGATTTTTAGGGAAAAGGTTCTTTTATATCACTATGTTATTAGAATTATGTAAATAGTTTATATGGGATCAATAATATTCCTTGTAATTAATATATATTTATATGTATATACATCACATACATTCCATTTAATAAATGATGCATGCTTTAAATTAGAATTAAGAAACCACTTTTCAACAACTAAAATTTCATTTTTGTTCTGAAGAGCAAAGATGTTAAGGCTTGGAAAGTGTACCAATACTGCAATTGTGTTTTGGTGATAGAAAATTTGTGTTTGTTTTTGAACTTAAGCATCAGATTTATTTCTGTAAGTTCCTATTTTATTCCTAGATGCTGAAATGAGAGAGAAGGTGCTATTTGTAGGCACTTGACTTAGAGTAATCCATTTGATGTGGATGTTGTATTACTACTAAGTAAAAAGCCAAGTTGGATTTAAATGTACATTTTCCTTATGTATTCCTAGAAAGTTGTATATAAATAAGAGACTTTAATCAGAATTATAATTTAAAAGCTGGAATGAAAGATGAATTAGTTGAATTAGACTTGTTTCAATGAATTCTTCAATAAAAATGGGAAGTTTACAGATGAAAAGTCGGGGGAATTAAAAGAAAAAACCAAATTTAAATTAATGGTGAAGAGCTACCTGGTACCTCTTAGTCTACCCACTCTATGAAACTATTCTGGACAAAAAGCACCAAAATATTTGCAGAGTAAATGCAACTGATTTTTATAAGTTCTGCTTTACCTTACATTTAATTTAAGTAACTGTTTGATGAAGGCATTTTATTGGTTTAACTTTTATCAAGTCCTTTAGTGAAGCAGTAATCACTGCCTAATTTGTCTTTTATTTGGATGCACTTACTTTGTCTTTAGCTAACACAGAGCATTAATTTGGGGGAAAAATTGTATCAGTTCAAAAGAGATTTCCTAAGACTTTTAAAATTCTTTTTTTTTTTTTTTTTAGCTGAGCCATCCCGCCACCTGTTGGCAGCTCACGGCTGCTCAGCTCGGGCTGACTCGAACTGCTGTTGCTCAGAGCTCAAACTCTTGAGCGAGCTCTTAACCAACTGAGCCACTCAGCCGGCCCTTTAAAATTCTTTATTGAATTAGTTTATATTTAAGTCACTTCTGGTTTTTGGGAATATAGCAGTGAACAAAATAGAGCATCTTGCCCCCAAGGAGTTTACATCTATTGAGGAGAAAACAGACAATAAACAAATAGTTAAATAGCATGACATATTGTGAACGATGGTATGGATAACAATAAAACTGGTAAGAAGGACAGGGTTTACAGGCAGAAGCAGGAACTTTCACACTTGGATCAATGTAGAGGTGAGAGGGGTAGAGATGACAAAGATGACTCCAGTGTTTCTGGCCTGAGTGACTGAAAGTGTGGAGTTACCCTTTCCTGAGATGGGGAGATTGTGGGAAAGACAGGTTTGCGGAAGTTTGAATTGTTCATCTTAAGTTTGGTACTTGGATGTGGATTTCAGTTTGTGAGTCGGGACTTCAGGGAACTTTGTATGACGCTTGAATGATGTATGTAACTTGTGGGATATGGGCATCAGCATTTTGTTCTTAGAAACATGGCCTTAGGGTGGCTTCAACAACAAGCATTTATTTCTCACGTTCTGGAGGCTGGGAAATCTAAGATCAAGGTGCCAGCAGATTGCAGATTGCCATTTTATGTCTTGGGGGTGCTGGGAGAGAGATAGATATCTGGTCTCTTCCTCTGTTTATATCCCAAAAGCCCGGTCTCCAAATAGTATCACACTGGGGATCAGGGCTTCAACATGTAAATTTGAGGGACACAAAACATAGTGCCTTTTAGGACCTCTAGGGAGGCAAGAGGCTGTGGGGTTATGGTAATGGTATCATACATATGTGTTTATAGCCCCATAAACATTCTCAGTAACATTTATTGTACTTTATCACCTATTATGTGTCAAGTATTCTGCTAGATAATTTTAGTAACCATATCTAAGTTTCACAACCAATTTTACGGTTTATTTATTGTCTTAATTTTACAGGAGAGGAAACTTTTATATAGATAAATTTATTTGGCCAAAGTCATAAGCAAGGTGGTGATGGGAATTAACTGCAGTGTTCTTTGCATTATCTTAACCCTGTACAGTAAATTCAAGTTATAATTCCTGTTAGTTTAATAATACTTTCTGGCTTTTTGTACCATTGAATATTTTATTGTTAAATTTTTTTGTTTAATGAGGAGGTAGTTTGGGTTTAATAGAACACGTTTTATTTTAATATAGTTATTGGAAATTTTAGATTTTTAGCCCATGTGGAATTAAGTTTTTATATAGTTTTAGGTGGATTTTCTTTTAGCTATATAGTGAGTAATGCTAGTGTCATTTATTAAAGAAGCCATCCTTCTTTTATTAAGTAGGTTACTTTATTTTATATTGAATTCCCACATATATCTGGATTTATTTCTAGACTTTTTTTGTTTCACAGTTCCCTTGTCTATTTCTGTTTCAATTCCGTACTATTTTGATTATAGTAACTTTATAGTAAACTTTATTATCTGGTAAAGCAATTTATTTTTCAAAAATTCTTTGGCTATTTATAAACATAATTTTTTCCATTGGATCTTTTTTTTTTAATATAGAAAAATTTAATAGGATAAATAAAGCACCACAAATCAGTATCCATAGGATTTTTAACATAATTTGTTTCTAGTTCCAAAAAACCCAACTGGGTTCTTGGTTGGAAGTACATTAAATTTATTTAGGTCTTACATAGTATTTTCTTATATATAAAGATCACATCTTGACCTTAAGCTTATTTCTAAATATTTTATGTATGTATGTAATTTGTCACTAATTTGAGCTAGTGACATTTGTAATTGGCTATTACAGGTATAGAAAAAGCTGTTGACTTTTGGTACTTGATAAAATATCCATCTATTTTATGTAATTATCTTACTATTGGGTTGTCAGAAAAGTCATGATGTATTTTTTTTCTATGTTTTTTGTTGCAAAAATGCGTCATGACTTTTCCGACAACCCAATATAATAGGGTTTTCTTTTGGGAATTTCTCTTGGATTTTGTAGGTCCAGAAACTCTAAATAAAATGTTTTTTCTTCTACTGTTTATACTAAGTGTGACAGACACTATTGGATGATTACTCAGAAGCCATTCTCTACCTTTTTCTTGTCTACCTCTGTGTAAATACTGGAAAAGCCAAATACCCTTCCTATTAGAATCCCTTGATGCTGAGACATTCTAGTTAAGTCTACTAGAGGAATTCTGGGAAAGGTATTTTAAATTTTGATGGAAAGTTATCAGTCTTTTTATGTTCTTTGTTTTCTTTCAACTTTTTTTTTTTTAATGTAGAAATATTTTAATGTAAATTACAGGCAGCATGACAGGCCACTCCTAAGTCTTCTAGTTTTCATCCTTTTTTTTTAAAGGAACTTTTCTCCACATAGTAAAAATATTACATTTAACAAAATTAATCCTAATTTCTTAATATCACTAATTACCCATTCCATATTGAGATATAACAGTCATCCCTAAAATGTCCAAGCTAGTTTGTTCAAACCAGGACCTTGCAGTGCATCTGATTGAATTATCCCTTAAGTCTTTTAAAATGTAGAATAGTCCTTTTTTTCATGCTACTACTAGTCTGAAGAATTTGGGCCGGTTGTCTACCTTTTGGATTCTGTTTTCTCATGGTGTTGTTTTAGCTTGTTTTTCTTCCCTGTATTTTTAGTAAACTGGATTAGATCCAAAGGCTTGATTAGATTCATGTTAAGTACTTGTGGGGATTACATCATAGGAGATGGTGTAATATCAATTTGTTCTGCCATTAATGATGCCAAGATTGACTAGTGGATTAAAGTGGCTTTATCTCTCTTGTGTGAAGTTAATCCCCCCCACCCCCCCCCACCCCTGCTTGTGACTAGAAAGCACTCTGTGTACCATACCAATATTCCTGAAAATTCTGCCCTCCTGTTTGAGTGACAATCTAGAATTCTATACCCAGCCAATCTTTTTCCTTCAGTTTTTGAAGGCTTTTTTCCACTTCCTCTATCCTGTTGAGATATTGGAAGCTTTTCTAATTCTTTATCTTTTTGTATGTGACCTGTTTTTCCCCTTTTCTTGTGACAATTTGTTGGCAGTTATTGTTTACAGTGTTCTAAGATTTCACAATGATGTACCGTCTTGTGGGTCTGTTTTGAGGCCTAAGTATTCGTTGGGTTCTTTTAGTGTAACAGCTCACATTCTTCAGTTGTGGGAATTTTTCTTAAATTATATCACTGAGTTTGTCCCATCTGATCACTCTTTCTTTCTGGAACCCCTATTGAATTTTTGGACTTTCTGAATTTGTCCTGTAATTCTCTTTTTTCCCCCTACTACTTTACATCTTTTTGTTCTGCTTCCTAGGAGATTTTCTTACCTTTAACAATTCTATGGAGTTTTTTGTCTCAGCTGCCCTGTCTTTAATTTCCAGGAGTTTTAAAAACAATTATTTTATGGATGCAGTGTTTTGTATTAATGAGGATCATAGCTTTTAAAAATTTTTTAGAAGTTTTTTCTTCCTGTACAGTCTTTCTTTCCTCCAAAATGCTTTTATGGTTTTGCTTTGTACTGGTTGCTGTGTTCCATGTTAGGGCTTTGCTCATATTTTTAGTAATTCTTGTCTCTCTGCTCATGATTACTGATGGGAACCAAAAAGCTGATTGGAAACTATCAATGTATGGTTGGCGCTTTTGGATTTTGAACTTTACTGTGGGGTGACCTGGTGACTGTAGGGTTACGTGGACGGTTCTTTTTTGGGGAAACTCTTGATGTTTGTACATATACTTCTTTTTCTTTTCTTTTTATTATTTTAAAGATTTTATTAAGGAATTAGGGAATGACAACAGTGTTGGGGAATTGGGGAAGGGGAACAACCAAGTTGTTGTCCTTCAATCTCAGTTGTGGAGGGCGCAGCTAGCTCAGCTCCAAGCCCAGTCACCATCTGGCCACCCGTCAGCAGCTGGCCACTCATCTCAAGGTGCTGTGTTCAATCTTAGTTGGAGGGGTGGGGAGTGCAGCTCGTCATCCCATGTGGGAGTCGAACCAGCAACCTTGTTGTTAGAAGCACGTGCTCTCACCAGCTGAGCCATCCTGCCACCTGTTGGCAGCTCATCGGCAGCTCAGCTCAGGCGCAGCTCACTGGCCCATGTGGAAATCGAACCGGCAACCCTGTTGCTTAGAGTTGCCACTCTTAACCAACTGAGCCACTCGGCTGGCCCCAGTACATGTATTTCTTATTGGTTAGATTACAACGGGAATATACTTCTAGTCTGTCACTCAGAGGGCAAAGGAATGGTTGCTAGTGTTTTGTGAGGCATGTGGGAAAGAGGTGTATGCTTTCAGCATTCAGAATGCATACAGTTACTTGGACTCCCTGTTATGTTTTTGTACCCCTCTGCTGTGCCAGCTATCCCCCAGTGCAGAGCCCTTCAGTTTTACCCTCTAGAGAATACGTCCCCAGACATTTTCCTGGTGGAGAAGGGGCAAGTTGCAGCAGCGTAGAGTTGGGAGAGGGTCTGGAGATTGTAGCTTCTCAAGAAGATTTCACCTTGTAGTGCTTATTAAAGGCATCTCCAAGTCAAGAGCTGCCATTTCTTGTTCCTTTTAGGGATTCTATTGTGTATGTCAGGTGGTTGATTCTCAGTTTTCCAAACCCTGTCAGACTGGCATTTGGCTTTTACTTAGATCTAGTCACCTACCGTAGTCCACCTGTTTTCACCTTCCAAAATTCTGTTGCCATCTCCTTTTCTGTTTTCCTTGATATTATTTATTCACATCAACAAAACAATCCATTTATTGTAGTTTTAGTGGAATTTGGGAGGCAGCAAATTCTATTAATTTTGTCAGGTTGAATATAGGGAATTAGGTGCTAACAAAATGGTAGAAAGTGATGCCTGCTACACACAGCAGTGAAAAATGGATTGCTTACATCAAGATTGTTCACATCCACGAAACTAATTAAGGGGTACTGGAACACTGTCAAAACCCAGAGCCCCTATGACTGCTTGCTAGCCAAAGGACATAGTACAGTCTGAGTTTAAGGTCTGTTCTCTAGGCCTTAAATCCCTGGCTTGAATCCCTTTTTTGGGAACTGAAGTCGCAAGAGATTTTGGAATTCTTTTAACTTTGCAAGAAGGCATACCAATTTGAGAGTGAAATGGATGTTGAGTGAACAAGTCCATAGTCATCTTTCATCATAATCCAAGTGTGTTAAGTAGGAAGACTATTAACTTCCCAGTAATATTTTAAAATTCATTTATGTACATGAATGCCAGAATGTACATAATTTCCTTGTTTCGACTTCTTATTCTTAAACCTTTTTGTCAATGCAATTTTGAAATTATAGTTTAAATATTTTTAATATTTAAAATTGTGAAATATTTTAAATATTTAAACACATAGTGAACACCCATACACTCGTCGGCCAGTTTTATTGAATCTTCACATTTTACCATATTTGCAGCAAATCTCCCCCCAATAAAACAAGGATAGAGAGCTAAATAGTCTCTTCTGTCCTCAGAGATACTCATCTGAATTTGGGGTTGAATCATTCCTGTACATGTTTTCATACTTACTTTCATTATATACACATATAGACATTAACAATATGTAGTAATGTTTTGCTGGCTTTCAAGGTTTATGTAAAGCTATCATACTAAACATTCGCATCTTGGATTTTACTTAAAATGTTTTTAATATGCCTAGACTGATACATAAATTGTAGTTCACTCATTTTAACTGGTATAGACTATTCCGCTGTATGAATAAACCAAAATTATATTAATCATTTCACCTATTGACAGACATTTGAGTTATTAAAAATGCTTGATGTATATTGATGTATATTTTTTGCCATTTTAGTTAAACATTGATGTTATTGTACAATAGTATGTTTCAGGTTAATGAACTTTTTGTTCTGATTTTACAAAAATTATGTAGAACTTGTGATATAGAAGTAGTTTTGGGGAGCATCAAGGCCTGAAATGAAGGAAGGCCTTAAAGGTGTGACCACCCGAATTTTCTACAAAAGGCCTGAATGTTGTTAGGATGGCTTTGGGCGATTGTTTCATCTTCTCTTACTTGGTCATCCTCAAAAAGTGAGAAAAACTCTTACTTTTGAAAGTATTTTGTATGACAAGAATTTTATTAGGATGACTTTATATGTTTGACGAGATATTTACTGTCTGTTAATCTGTGTCCTTACTGTTTCAGACAGAATATTGTTGCGGGATGTAAAAGCTCTTACCCTCCATTATGACCGCTACACCACCTCCCGTAGGCTGGATCCGATCCCACAGTTGAAATGTGTTGGAGGCACAGCTGGATGTGATTCTTATACCCCAAAAGTCATACAGTGTGAGAACAAAGGCTGGGATGGTTATGATGTGCAGGTAATATTCATTATGTTGATGGCAGTTTAAATGGGATTTTTATTCAATAAAGTGTTTATTGTGGCATTATTCAGTATTTCGGGGTAGACATATAGAAAATCTCAGGTTAACCTAAAACATATGAATATAAATCATTCATTCATTCTTTGGCAGAAATTTCTTCCAAAAGAAATGAACTGATTTTAAGGCGTGGAAGTATTCATTGTGATTTTCTATACCAGAGCTTTCTTCTAAGACATTAGGAAATTTTCAAAACTTTTCACATACTTGGAGTGGGGGTGGGGGGGTTAGGATTTCTTCTGGTTGTTAGTTTTCTGTCATTCCTTAAAGAAGACCAACCTAGCCTTAAGAAATAAAGTTAAGATGATAAGGAATTGTAGATTGTAAACAGTGGAGATATATGTCTTCCAATTGTGCTTCAAACAGTTGATTTTAAAATTATTTTAGAACTGAGGGTGGTTACTTCTGAGCAAAAGCATTTCAGTGGTCTTTATTGTTGTGACTGGCATTTTGTACTTAGGGTGGACCATCTTCTTGAAGTTCCAAAATTTATTCTTTAGAAATGGAATAGATTTTATTAAATGAATTCAGTTTAAACCAATACTAATATATTCTACTTTGTATTCTGCCTGCTTTCCAAAAGGATTTAAGATGACTGGTCATTTGGCAAGAAACTTGTGTTGCTGATTTCCACTTCCAACCTTTATGCATGATCTGTGCAGTTCACAGAGAGAGTTCAGATTTACTGGGTGGTACTTAATTTGCAACATTTTTTTCTATTATTGCTAAGTAAATCAAGAATCTTCAGAAGTCCCAGCCTCATTGTCTTGATGGGAAATTTACTTTTACAGTCTTGATGGGAAAAAAGAGACTAATGGTGAGGTGAAGTCACTCATTAAACATATATGAAACCATATATAAAAATTAAAGAGCTAGAGTCATAACCCTCAAGAAACTGTCTTCCCGGTAAAGGAGATAAGACAAGCACTCAAATTACATGTAGGTGCCAACAAGATGTTGTAAAGTCATGTCCTTTATAATATTGGGGGGAACTGAGAAAGACTTAAAGAAGAAGGTATGTGCTGTGTTAGGAAGGAAGCATAAGATTTTTAGAGCTGAAGAGATAGAGAAGGTAATACCTTGAGCACAGAAAAATAGAGGATACTATACATTGACTTACGTTTAGTAGCAGGAGAGCCTCTTCCAATTCCAAGAGCTTAAATACAATAATTAGAAGCCACTTTTAGTATATATTATTAAGAAATTGATAGTATGAAATAGTAATAGAGATTTAGTTTGCTTTATTTACCTAAATCAGCAAGCTTACAAATCTTCCTCCAAATAAAATTATTTAAAAAATAAAATGGTGTAGCAACAACAAGAACAACAAAATAGAAAAATTGTATGTTATCCAAATTAAAAACTTTTGGGCTTCAAAGGACACCATTAAGAAAGTGAAAAGGCAAAACTATACAATTGGAGAAAGCTTTTGCAAATCATATTTCTGATAGGGGACTTGTATCTAGAATATAGAAAGGATTATTACTGTTGAATAAGAAGATAAATAGCCACATTTAAAAATGAGCAAAACATCTGACTAGACATTTCTCCAAAGAATATATGCAAATGACCAACAAACACATGAAAAATGATCAGCATCATTAGCCATCGGGGAAATCCAAGTCAAAATCATAATAAGGTACCAGTTAATACCCAACAGGATGGTTGTAATAAAAGACAGATAAACAAAAGTTGGTGAAGATGTGGAGAAACTTACGCATTGCTTGTTAGGAATGTAAAATGGTATAGAAGGTTTGGAAAATGGGCAGTAACTCAAAAGGTTAGTTACCATATGCCCCAACCATTCTACTCCTAGGAATATACTCAAGAGAATTGAAAACATATGTCCACACAAAAACTTGTACATAAATTTTTGTAGCAGCATTCTTTATAATAGCCAAACAGTAGAAACAACCCAAATATCCATCATTGATGAATGAATAAACAAAATATGATATATCTATACAATGGAATATTATTCAGCCATAGAAAGGAATGAAGTACAGACATACTACAATATGTGTGAACCTTGAAAACATGCTAAGTGAAAGAAGCCAGTCACTTAGAACCGCATATTGTATGATTCCATTTACATGAAATGTCCAGAATAGGGAAACCCATAGAGACAGATTGGTGGTTTCCTAGAACTGGGAGATTTGGGGGGAAATAGGGAGTGACTGCTAATGGATACGAGATTCAGGCAATGAAAATATTCTAAAATTGATAGTGGTGATGGTTGCACAACTTTGAATATATTAAAAACCATTGAAATGGGTGAATGTATGGATGTGGATTATATCTTGTCAAAGCTGTTATAAAAATAGTGTATCTGAAGTTTGAGAGAAGATAATTTGTCTTTCTCTTACAGATAAATTTACAGAAAGGCGATAGAACCAGTCATAGAACCAGTCAAATCTGCTTAGCTTGTGTCTGTTTTAATGTTGTTAAAGAAGCATATTATTTATTCAGCTCAAAATATAGTTATAAAATTTAAACTAAACCTGGACTTCTTTTTTTTTTTTTTTAAAGATTTTTATTGGGGAATTGGGGATGGGAACAGACAATTGCTGTCGTTTTTGTTCTTCAGTCTAGTTGTGGAGGATGTTGTTTCACTGGCCCAAGTTGGCACCATCATTGCACTCTTCCCAGGTGAGGCAGATCAGTCGCTGGCTTTTGGACGGCCGCTCACTGCGGCTGCTGGCTGCTGGCCGCTCACGCTGGCTGCTGGCTTGCTGGCTACACACGGTAGCCCATGGCAACCCACTGCCACAGGGGCTGCAGCCTACGCCATCGCCAGCGACCCACGGCAGCCCAGCTCCAGGTCGAGCTGTTGTTCAGCATCTTAGCTGTGGAGGGCAGTGTCACTGGCCCTCATATGTGGGATCCGAACCGGGGCCCTCTGGCATCCCAAGCCAGTTCTTAACCATCGCGCCACTCGGCCGGCCCTGGACTTCTTTTTTTAAAGGTGGAAATTTTTGTAGCTAGCATGGATTCTTTCTGCATTTTTTGAAATATCTTAAAAAAAACTTAAGAGAATTACTTACAGGATTATATTCTGAAAAGTTAGTCCATGGTTTTAAAAAATTTGTGTAGAAAGCTTTTCTCAGAAAGTTATATGTTATCTGTGACGCTGTATGTAGCTATCATATCTTCATATATGATGCCAATATTTGAGCCTTAACATTTAAAAACCTCTGTTTTTAAGGAAAGCATCTTGAACAATAGTGGCAAAAAGTTGACATTTAGAAAATTTGCTTAAAATTTATAAATTAGGGAATATCTAATTTGTACAAGATAATTCCTTACATCTATACGTAAAGAATAAGGAATAGTAACAAAATGAACACTCATGTACCCACCACCTAGCATAAGAAGTAGAACATTAACATCATCAATATCTTCGAGGTTCCTCAATGCCCTTCTCCCAGCACGGGAATACTCATTGTCCTGAATTTTGTTTATCATTTCCTTGCTTCATTTTGCTGTTTTATGACAGCTAGCTAGCACAAATGACATATGTTAAGCGAAAAAAAATCTTTTTGTTCTAATAACCTATTTCTACATTTCTTCACAGTGGGAATGTAAGACCGATTTAGATATTGCATACAAATTTGGAAAAACTGTGGTGAGCTGTGAAGGCTATGAATCACCTGAAGACCAATATGTACTAAGAGGTTCCTGTGGCTTGGAGTATAACTTAGACTACACGGAACATGGCCTGAAGAAGTTGAGAGAGTCTGGAAAAAACCATGGCTTTAACTCTTTCTCTGGTTATTACAATAAGTTGTACTCCACAGATTCCAGTGGCATCAGTGGATTGGTTACCATCGTGGTGCTACTTGCTATTGCCTTTGGAGTGTATAAATTTTTCCTTAGCAATGGCCAAGATTCTCCTCCGCCATATTCTGAGCATCCTCCACATTCCCATCAGTATCAGAGATTCACCAACTCAGCAGGACCCCAGGCCCCAGGCTTTAAGCCAGAGTTCACAGGTATGTTTGTCTGGGCATTAGATGTGAGGTATGAATCCTGTGCAGTTTCTGAAATAGGAAATGGTTGCATTGGGAAACCAAAGCAGATTTGTCTTCTCATTTTATTTTTCACTTCTTCTGTCCTGTTTCTCTCTAAGGTATTTGTGATTACTATTTTAAGGATGCATGATTGATTGTAAATCATCTTAATCAGAAAAACTTGATCAGATTTGGTAATAAGCATTTATCTTGAACTCTGTCTCACACCATACACAAAATATATTAAGTATTATAGATCTCAACATAAAAGGTAAAACAATTAAATTTCTAGATAAAAATGTAGGACAGTATTTGTCGTGACCTTGGGATAGGCAAAAATTTCTTAGAACACAAAAAGTACCAGCCATGAAAGAAAAGAGAGATAAAAAATTAAACTCTATTTAAATTAAATTAAAAACATTTGGTCATCAAAAGACAACATAAAGAGAGTGAAAAAGCAAGCTACAGCCGTGGAGAAAATATAAGACATGTATCCAACAAAGGACTTGTATCTAGAATATATAAAGAACTCCCACAAATCCGAGAAAAGACAGACAACCCAATTTAAAAAAATGGACAGAGGACTTGAACAGCCATAAAAGAACATGTCCAGATGCCCAATAAAAATATGAAAAGGTGCTCATCCTCATTAGTCTTCAGGAAAATGCAGATTAAAACCACACTGAATTCATTATTAACTGCCATATAACCACTGTAATGGCTAACATTAAAAACACAGTACTAAGTAATGGCAAGGGCATAGTCAACTGGAACTTGCTGGTAGAAGATAAAATGGTAAAACACTTTGAAAAACTGGATACCTACTAAACACATTCCTGCCGTATGGCCTAGCAGTTCCATTTTTTGATACGTATCTAAGAGAAATGCATGCATACAAGTATGAGTGTAAAAAAAACATGTACAGGAATGTTCATAGCAGTTTTATTCACAATAACCAAAAACTGGAAATAGGATGTCCATAAACATTAAAATGAGACAAATTGTGATTTCTTTTCACACAATGGAATACCACACATCAGTGTAAAAAAACCTAAAACCTGATATATATAATAGTGAGGTTGACTCTCATAGACATAATGGTGTAACAGACACAAAAGAGTACCTACTGTATGGTTCTATTTATAAAGAGTTCAAGCATGGATAAAACTAAAGTATGGTGAGAGATGTTAGAGCAAAGCTTATCTCTGATGTGGGTGGGTATCTTTTGGGAATTGTCACGAGGGAGCCTTCTGGGGTACCAGAAATGATTTATTGATGTGGGTAATTGCATGCATGGGTATATATATATATACACAAATTTCTTATGCTATACATGTAAGATTAGCACTCTTTCCTTTATGTATATTATACATCAATTTTAAAAATACTTCCTCTGAGGAGAAGATACTTTTTTGGTCCCCTTAAGACCTGACTTCCCAACTAATAAATATCTGGCTGCCTCCCCTTGGATTCCTCCATTAGACACTCAAGTATAGCTGTCACCTGGAACTTGTAGAGATGTTCACAATGCAGAAAGTAAGCAACTGAAAAGTGGGGGTCATTTCCTAGTAGGTGATCTTAAGTAGAGCAAATGTGAGCTTATAGGAAGTTCCCCCCAATCCTAAAATATATTCTTTTTCATGTCTGTGGGAAAGGCACTGCTTAATTATAAACCAGTATTGTACACATACACATTTTGAATACAACTTATTTATAAGTTGAGATCTGAGTATTACTAATAAATAGTACAGATGAAATAATTGAAGTGTCATATTATGTTTGGTTTTGTATGCTATGTTTTGTTTAAATGAGGATACATAATAATCATTTTTATTTCTAGGACCGCATGGTGCAACTTATGGTTTTGGCAGTGCTTTCACAGGACAACAAGGACATGAAAATTCAGGACCAGGTTTCTGGACTGGCTTGGGAACTGGAGGAATATTAGGATATTTGTTTGGCAGCAATAGGTAGGCTTTGCATTTATCTCACTTGGTCTTTAATTCAACTTTTCTTTAGAGAGTTATTTGTTTTGCTTATAATTTGATTTTGTCTTATTAAGGAAAATAAGTTACAGTGACGTTACACTATTAAATAAGATTCTCGGGATGGAGAAGGTACACTATATATGCTTTGAGTATTATGTATGTTATTTTATTTCATTGTGTTTCTTCCTATATCATCTTTATAGATAATAGGAGATAGGAAAAAGGTTGTTTACTTGACATCTGAGAAAATGAGAAGGCAGGAAAGAACACAATCTTGGGAGAATAGTTAGCAGTCCGGTTTGGTAGAAGAATGATTGAAGCAAGGCTAGAAAAAGTGTGGAGCCAGATTTTGGAATGCCTTCAGTATTATTGGTAGTTTAAGTTTAGATTTTATTTGAGTGAAAATTCAAAAAGAAAGTGCCTTTTATCCCTGTCACTTTTTTCCCCATGGCAGTGACCATAACACCATTAGAGATATAAGGTAGTATTTATTTCGAGTTAATCTAATATACCAGAACATTGAAGAAAAAACACTTGGTAAAGATTTTTTTCTGATAATTTAGGAATAGGGAGGTATTTAAAAATTAAAGGCACAAGAAAAATGCTTTGACACACTTTTATGTCTTTCTAGAGCAGCAACACCCTTTTCAGACTCGTGGTACAACCCATCTTATCCCTCATACTCCAGCACATGGAATAGACGTGCTTACGCACCGTCTCATGGAGGCTCAGGTAGCGATTCGGCATGTTCAAGCTCAGAGTCAAAATCCAGAACAGCATCAGGTGAGAGCAAAAATATAGAAGTTTCTATTACATAGCAATAAAGTACTAGTTTTGGAACTTACGGACAATTATACATTTAGCGATCATGGTTTTATTTGGCATTCCTGCTAGAAATATTGAATATGAATAATTTATATTCAATCTTTCACTTTAAACATTTTTTAAAAATCAAACAAAGATTTGGTTTAGACTCACTTCTACCACTAATCAAGGTTTTAACTAAAACCTTGGACATTGGTTTCTATATATGTTTAATTCTGTGATATCTAGGGATCCTTTAAGTTCTAAAATTTTTCTAGGTAGCAGTTTGAACTTTTTAAATTCAGTAAAACTCAATAAAAATATATTGAGTCATACTTTAATTGTCAAAAATTTGATAATGTTTTTTGCAGTTGTTAAGAGGACATTTTGCAAAAAGCAAAGATGTAATATTAAAAACATTAACTATTTGGAGTTAAACATCTAGCTAATTAGAGAATGGGAGGTAGTAGGTAACGAGGCAGTAATGGAGTGCTGTAGATTGAGTTTGTCTTCAACAGGGGGCAGTTATAAAACAATGATTAATTCTTAAAATAGATAGAATATACTTATGTGTGTTTAAAAATGTAAAAGTGGAATTTTTATAGTGCTGGTATGAATATAAATTGACAAGATTATTTTGAAAAACTGGTATTACCTACTAAAATTGAACACAAGCATTCCCGAGACCCAGCAGTTTCACTTTCAGATGTATTGCAACAGAAATGCATATGTTTGTACACAAAAATATAAATACAAGAATGTTCGTGGCATATTCATAATAACCTCCAACTAGAATATCCATCAGCAGTAAAATGGATGAATAAATTGAGTTATAGTCATACCATGGAATACTATGCAACAGTGAGAATGAATAAACAGTTGTATGCAATCATAAGAAACCAGACACAAAAGAATATATACAATATGATTACAGCATTCATATTTTATAAATCTACGTGTCTTAAAAACAAGCAAAACTAACCTATGGTGTTAGATGCTAAGGTAGTGGTTACTTTTGGGGAGAAAAGGGGAAGTAGCGATTGGGAGGATATCTAAAAATAGAACTGCATTGAATGCAACATGACAAAAGAAAACTCATTTTTAGTGGAAACAAAAATTGTAAAAAACCATAAGTATCAACTAGAAATGTATGGGACTTACTTGAAGAAAATCATCAAAACATTACCAAAAAAACCTAAAGGAAAACCTGAAAAACATTGAGACTTTCCAGACAGGAACAGTCATTTTATAACCTATGTGTTAGGATGTCTTTATGTGCATGCCTTTGAAAGTCTGTAACCCTCCCCCACATTACTTCTATTTACTGCTGGAGTTGGGGGAGTTAGTAGGACATGACTTAGGCTCCATTGGCCTTCCTGCTTTTTGTCTTAGCATTTGTGTATTGCTTGTACCACATTGGCCCCACCATAGGACACGTCTTTGGTTTCCCAACTAAAAGTTATTCTCTGCAAGCATGTGTGAGTTTTGTATGCTTGATGCTTGGATGATGTGGAGGACCGTTGGGGGAGGCAATGCACTGTTTCCTGCATAGCGCTGTTCCACTGGGGTGCTCATTCTCTCCTTCCCTCATTTGCTAAAAATAAAATGTATTACTGTTGTGATTTTATGAGCAACTCTAGTGCATTTTTAAAAACTAATATAAATTTTATTCTTTTTATTTAGGGTATGGTGGTACCAGAAGGCGATAAGAAAGTAAAAAGTTGAAGTCAAACATTGGATGCAAAATTTCTGATTTTTCGTCATTTTCTCTTAAAAAAAGTGCTACCTGCTAACAGCTGCAGAAAGGGAATATTCAAAAGTTATGTGATGTTTTGTCCTGTATAGCTTCTTGTATTCTATTATTTGAGACTAAGAGTTGATAATATGACAAAATGCTTATTAGAAAATTGTATATTGGTGTAACATGGAGATATTTATTACAGTTTTTGAAAGTGAAGATTACTGTGGAATGCTGAAAATGTATTGTTTAATTTCTAAAACCTGTGATGCCATGAGAAGCATTAAATGAAGGCTTTATACCAATAGACACTGAGTACAGAAAATTTCAATCTGATTTTAGTTGATGAGTCATTACATCATAGAAATAATAGTCTATTTGGTATTTAGTATTTGGTGTTTGCTGTTCTTCAAGCTTTGAAACCAAGAATTGGACTACTAATTATACTAATCGGTGGGTTTTGATCACTTTTGAACTCAGGAGCTTTGAATTCTTCAGTGGTGGTGGGGGTTCTGGTAAGTGAGAATTACCTTTTTAAGGAAAAGGTAGAAAAAATAAGTACCTAGAAGGTTGTTGTGAGTGATTGTGTGCTGAGAAAAATTCTTGAAGTCGCCATACTTATTTCTTAAGAAGTAAAGTTCATATGCTTCAACAAAGGTCTTTTAATACCAAAGCATGCGTTTCTCTGTGGAATCTCAAATATTGTTTAGCAGTCTGGTTTAGTCTTACATTAAAATGACAAAAACAAACCAACAAAGGATTTTATTTTTATTCTTTCTGCCTGCTTTGACACAAATTGATGTTACTTTTTTACCGCATTTCCCAAAGGGAAAGGGATTCATGCAGAAGTTCTGGCTCCCTAAACAATAATTTCACATGGTAGTCTTGCCTCAGTTACCAGTCATTTGATAAATGTTTTCAAAAAAGTAATTTAGAAATGGTGTGGAAGGAAGCCTCTGCTAAAAAAATTTGCTCTTTAAAAAGAATAAATCTCTAAGCCTCCCAATCTTTCAAAGGTTGTACAATCTGTTTTAGTTCAGCTCTACAACCCGAGAGTCTCATTTTTACCTTTTAGGTACCATGTAAAAACAAACCCTTATTTGGATTTTAGAATGTAATTTAGGGAATAGTTGAAAGGGTACTGTGAATGAAATTATCCTTTCTTCATTGGTGAAACTTGATAGAAATTTTAATTTATGTTACAGAGGAAACACATTTTTCCTTAGTAGGTGTGTTGTACTAAATCCTTACCCTATTTCTCCTTAGCAGAAAGAGATGGGATAAAAGGAAAATCAGTTTATTCCCCTTTTTCCCATTTGCTTATTGTTTTGGGTTTTTATTTATTTATATTGCTACAAGAATCGATAATGTTGAGTATGTTGTATTTGGAGAACAAAGTAAAAACATTTGTTAATTTAAAACTATACATTGAGCTGATTATATTGATCTGCATATTAAATTTGCTGTTGTTAAAACTGCTCTGATTTCTATTTTTGAGCACATTATTTCAGGTCATTGGAATTGTGTGAAAATAGTGAGTAAATATAGAGTTGATTAAATTGGTGGCTTTATGGCTGCTCTCAGAAATCCCAGGGGTGTTCTTTGAGGCTCTTTCTGAGGCTGCCTGGAGGGAAGGGAGGGAAAGAAACAGTATGTAGGGCTTAAGATCCTCTCCTCACCCCTATCCCCACTAGAGAGTTCCTTATTTATGTGTTGTATGTGTACACTTCCTTGTTTATGGAAAAGATTCTGAGGTATTGCTTCCAAGATCTAAGACTCAGAATAAAGACAGTAGAACTGGATTTCTTTGGGGAGTTGATGGCCTCCAAGGTACCTAGGGAAAGCGGGGTACTTCCGTTGGGAGCTTGGTGTGCCTGGCTGAGGGGCATAAAAAGGAGAAAATAGAGAGGTGGAAGGGAGCTGAAGACAAGCTTTACAGTTTTAGTCCCAGGAGGGCTCAGCAGAACTTGTTGGATGTTAAGATGGGATTTCTGATATTTTTAAGCAATTAGGCATGTTTCTGTGGTTTCATGCACACTCTCTAAAGCTTGATCTCTTCCATTCTGACCCCTATCCTCCAAGACTGGCTGAAATTTATCTGTTGCTCTTCCATAACACATTGTACACACTTTTACTATGCAATTAGTACACTGCATTGTAATTATCTTTTAAGCTTAGATCTTTCTTACTACTCTGAGCTCATTAGGGGAAAGGGTCAAATATTACTTCTTCCTGCCCCTTACAACTAGGACATGGTTACGTGACTAAATTTCGTCAATCAGGTGCTTCCTCCAAGTCTTGGAGGTAGTGGCACAAAGACCTTAGGACAGTGAAATGATTATTCCCAGCAGTGATAGTGCACTTAAAGACTTAGCGGAGGTGTTGGTGAGTGTCCGGTGGTAGTTCCTAGGGACACTCTAGCTGGACAGTTGCTGTGGTATGTCTTGGCTGGGTGGTGTGCTGCCTGGATACTCATGCCTGAAAACCTGCCTTTTCCTCAGATAGGTTTGCCAGCCTTCTTATCAATTCTGTGAGCTGTCTGATACATGTGTCAATAAATTCATTTTCTGCCCAATCTAGTAGAGTCGTTTTCTGTTGTTTGTTACTAAGAACCTTGTATGTATGGTGAGTCTCCCGAGATTCTTTAATTGTAAGCAACAGATCCTGGCTAATTGTAATAAAACATTGTGGTTAACTCCCAACATTTGTTGTTCTCTGTTGATTTGGTCTCTAAACTAGTGCTTCTTAAACTTGAAGGAGCATCGAAATCACTGAAGGACTTTAAATACAGATTGCTTGGCACTACCTGAAGAGTTTCTGATTTTAGTAGGATTAATGGTCAGTTTTATAAAGTGTCAGCTTAGCTAGGTTATAGTCCCCAATTACTCAAACACTATTCTGGGTATTTCTGTGAAGCTATTTTACAGTAGTTATTTTACAGTAATTAACATGTACAAACAGTTGACTTTAAATAAAGAAGATTATCCATGATGACTTGGTAGGCCTGCTCCAATCAGTTGAATGTCCTTGGGAACAACTGAGGTTTCCTGGAAGAAGAAATTCTGCTTTGGGTGGCAGCTTTAGCTGCAGAATTAGCACCTGCCCTTCCTGATGGCATACCCTGTTGATTTTGGTCGTGCTTAGCCTAATCCCCACAATTGTGTAAGCCAGTTCCTTCCAATCTCTCTGTATCTGCTAATGACTCTGTTTCTCTGGTTGGATCCTAACTGATACAGATTTTGGTATCAGAAATGATTCTAGAGAAACAGAATCTTAGTAGAATATGTTTTCTACTTTGATTAAATTGAATGGTACTCTTGACTGTTTCCAGTGGTAAAGGGGGTGAAGGTTATTCATAGACTCAGCAACAGAGGCTTTCACTCACCAAAATTGATGTGGTTACAGCCACTGCTGAGGGTACAGTCTTTAACAGCAGAGATCAACACTGAGCTCTGGGTATGGTGCCATTCCCTGGGGGGACCAGGGAATTGGTCCCTTTGATTACATTAAACTACTTCTATTATGGTTTGTTATTGGAATATACATTTACTCGAGGTTCAGATTTGCCTTTCCCACTTGAAATGCTTCTTGTAAAATATTAATACACAATATGTGGGCATACAGAATGCCTTATTAAGCATTACAGTATTCTGCATTGCATTGCTTCTAAGAAACTCATTTCACAGTGAATGAAATGCAGCAATGAACTATCCCCCCATATTTTATAGGGGCTCTGTTCTCCCCTGGATCCAGGAGCAGTAAATCTTCATGGTTTTGTTAGCTCTATGATGCCCTCAGGAAGATATATTTTCACATTTTGTTCAGTATTGTTATTTTCCCTATGTGATAGGATTGGTTCAAATCATCTAGTCCTCAATTACTTGAAAGTGGAACTCCCCTACTTTACAGATTTGAAGATAGCCCTTTGTTTTGCCCAAGGTAGACATCCAAAACATCTTCAATCATTATTTAGTTTTTAGGTCCATCATCTCTCTGGTCATCATTCTAGGTTTGATAATAATATTTATCTTTTTATCCCTAGCACAATCTCTTATTTTCCTAATAACACTAGAGGAGAAAAAATTCAGGATTATGAATATTAAGTTAAATTATTTAAGTTGTATTTGGTTAAATTATGTAGTTAAACTGACTTGGAATTACACATATTTTAATTTTAAGTTATAATCATACATATTCCATAATTAAATAATATAAGTTCTTTATAAAACATTCAAATAGTTTAGAAGGGATATAAAGAGAAAAGCAAAAAAAGCCTTATCTGCACTACTCCAGGTGGCCCTTCCTCTCTCCCTTCAGTGTGGGCTCTACCTGGAAGTAATCTCTCTCAACTGTTTTTTAGTTATCGTTTTAGAAATAATACATCATATTCAGAAATTTTTTCACAAAGAATATGTTCTTGTAATAGCTGCATTGTATTCCATCACAGGGATCTAGCATAATTTAATCTGCCCATTTCTTTAGTGATGTTTGCCATATTTTCAAAAATCTTCCTATTTTCAACAATGCGATAATGAACATCCAAAGATATCGTTAATACATGTGTTTATGTCACTACAAAGAGACAGGGTGGACCCCCACCCAAGCAATAGAGTTGCGCTCTATTGTAATTTAGACCTTTAATATGTATACGTTTAGATTTGTAGGATATATTTGTGAAGTGGTAAGATCCATGCATAAATGTGGCTCCCAAACTAAAATTAGGATGTGGATGTAAGAGGAGCTGGCATTTAAACATGGCCTCCCATCTTTCCACGTGGGTGGAAAAAGTGAGTCACTGAAGCAGATCTTTGTTCTGAGAAGATTGGCTCTTAAGTAAATAAATAGAGGGTAAGCAGCCATTTACTGCTCTTTGGAAAGTGTATAACAGGACTTTAAAAAATGGCTTAATGAAGGCCAGTTCTTTTAATACCTTTTAATATGTAAAGATCAAAGGTTGCTTAAGAGGAAGTAAGTAATTTTCTTGGAGACCAAGGTGGCTATTGGAAAACAAGGTATCAATATCTTTCACTCATTTCTCCTGGAGTACCTCATGAATAGCATCTCTTAGGTGGTTAGAGCACTTACTGAGGGAGGGCAGGATGAGTTTAGACTGGGCATTCTGGCTTGTTACCAGATTCTAGATGGTCTTAGGGGAACTCTGGTTTTGAGTTAGCTTGTGGCTGGCTATGTCTGGAACTGGAATTGCCCCAGATCTTACAACAGGGCATGAAGTGTGTGCTTTGGAAAGAATGACTGAACTTGTATGTCTCAAACAAGAGAGCTATAACCTGGGACATTTAGGAGTAGGGCACCACTGTGACCTGTTAAAGAATAGGGACTGAAAGGAACAGTGAGAAGAACACATCAAGACCAGTTTTCAGAATGTGGCAGCAATAGGTAGTTGAAAACTAGTTTGCTGGTAGATGGATCAGATTTTCAAATTGCTGTCCAGGAGGCATTTAAGGAATATGGTCAGCTACTTTGGAAACTGTCCCTGGGGTTATTGAATAAGGGGGTAAGAAGAGAGGTCCCTTGAAAGGTAGTATACCTCCAGCTAATCCAAAATATGGGGCTTCTGGCCTAGTTTAATTAGAAAAAATAAGATGCAATCGTATTTGTTCCTTCAGTTGATTAATTCATACTGGTTATACCAGTACAAACTTCAGTGCATATATTACTTCCTTGAAGTGGATGCACATTTTATTACTGCAGTCTTTTGGTAGCTACATCTCTACTACTTTATATTGAGCCTTGGAAGATGATAAAAATAAAAATGCTTTGTTTACAGCCAGGCAGTTTGCCACCATCCTGCATTGTACAATAGACTAAAAAACCCCAAAAGTCTAAATTCAGGAATTCCCAGTTATTACACTTCATCATCTTTTTTATTTATTTATTTATTTATTTATTTATTTATTGTTAGTTTCAGGTGTACAGAACAATGCAATAGTTACCCTTTTCACCCTCACAAAGTAACAACCCCCCTCCCCCCATCCAC